GAGCCGCCTGGGCCACCACCTACAAAGGGCAAGAAGGAAGTGAAGGGCACCGACCGGCTGGGGCGCTGCAGGCGCAAGCCAAGAGAATGCCCAAGGAGAAGATCATCCGGAGGAGCCAGGTGAACCGCCTGGTGGAAGCCCACAAGGGCACAGACCGCTTTGCGAAGCGGCAGGGGCTGAGGAGAGCCCTGGTGAAGAAGCTCCCGAAAGGGACGGTTGGAGTCGTTGCCGAGCGCAGGCTGCTGGACAGCGACTGCGAGAGTTGCACCTCTCGACGAGGAAAGGCCACGAAGGCCGCAGCAGCTGCCTACGCCAAGAGTCTTCTCCAGAAGAGGGAGAGGATGAAGCATCTGCCCCTCCTTTCGGAGGACGAAGGCGAGGATGAAGAAGTGGAGGTCGAGGTGGAAGAGGAAGACCCCGACGCAGACCACGTGCCACTGGGGGGAAGAGGTCCAGAGGACCCACCCGACGGAGAAGGCGGCCTGGAGGGCCGGGTTGGAACCGTGTTTTCCTTATCTGGGAATGGGGCCGCTTCGGCACCTTCCCGGAACCAGAAGCATCCCTCAATGGCGGTGCAAGCCACAACGTGCTGCCAGACAAAGTGTACCAGAAGCTCTTCGAGGAAGGGAGGGCCACAGCCTTGAAGGAGGTGAGTTCGCCACTTAAGTTTTCCACGGCAAGCGGGGAGAGTCTGCCCAACCTGGGCACAACGGAGTTGCTTCTGAGTGGCCCGTCTTCGGATGGGAGGGCCACCAGTCACCAGGTGCAGATGCATCTTCAACGTGGCAGCTGTGCAGCGCTGCCTCCTCTCCACTGGTCGTGCGATGGACCGTGGCAACGCCTTGGTCTTTGCAGGTAAGGAGGCCACGCTGTACCTCGCGCGTCGTTCCGTGTGCTTCCGGTGCACTCGCACCCTCCACGGCTGCTGCCTACAGCGTAAGCCCGGCTACCAAAGGCTTCAAGCCAACAAAGAGCTTTTTAAGGGCCCTGGAAGGGCTAAGCATCCCTGAGGGATGCGCTTCGCTGCAAAACTTGTTGGGAAAGGACCTTGAAGGTAGGAGCCGTAGCTGTAGAGCCGTTTCGTTTCACCTAGAACAGAGCCATTTTGGCGCGGTAGGAAGGAAAAAGGCCGAAAGTGCCTGTAGGGTAGGAGTGTCTGAGACCCTAACCCCGGTTGGTTTAGGTGGTTTGGTTAAAGGAAAGGAGAGGAAGGAAAAGAAGGAAGGAAGAGAAGAAAGAAGGGCGGCAGGCGCCGCAGCTGAGTACTACAACCTCTTTCCGGAGCCGGAGGTGTTCCCGATCCACTCTGACGGTGAAGAAGACGAGGCCCGACCGTTTGGGGATGGTGAGCCACGCCAGGCGGAGCCCGCTTCGGGATCCGCCCAGCCAGGAGGCGAAGAAGCACAGCGTGCGAAGCCACTTCGAGCGCCGCCTGTGCCCACGCCTCAAATGGTTGCTGAGCACGAGGTGACACATATCCCTTACCGATCGTGGTGCCCAGCATGTGTAGCTGGACGGGGGCGAGCCTACTCGCACCACCACGAGGGCCGAGACTCCACAGTGCCTGTGGTATCAGCTGACTACCTGTACTTCTCTGAGAAGGGAGTACCGGGAAAGAGCCTGCCAACAGTTGTCTTGAGGGACCGTGCCTCAAAGGCCATCTTCTCGCATCTGCTGCCAACTAAAGGGACGGTAGGTTCGACCTATCCTGAAAAGGCGGTGCTTCGAGATTTGAATTGGCTGGGGTACAAGCGCTTGGTTCTGAAGACGGACCAAGAGAACGCGATCAAGGCATTGGGGGCAGCTGTGAAGGCTGGTTTTCCAGAGGACTTGACTCTGGAAGAGTCGCCCAAGGGAGACTCTCACGGGCAAAGCAACGGCACAGCTGAGAATGCAGTGCAACGTGTGCAGGGACAAGTGCGCACGATGAAGTATGCCCTGGAGCAAAATGCTGGAGGAGAACTACCCAAGGACTCGGTTATCTTCCCTTGGATGATCGAGTACGCAGGGGTGCTCCACACCCTGTTCTCTCAAGAGGACAGCGAGGGCATGACTCCGTTCCAGAAGCTGAAGGGCCGAACCTGGCAAGTAGCTCTTCCAAGCTTTGGAGAAATCGTGGACTATCGCCGAAGGGCGAAAAGCAAGCTTGATGCCAGATGGCAAGAAGGAGTCTACCTAGGACTGCGGCTTACGAGTTCGGAGAAGATTATCGGGACGCCCTCGGGTATCCTGGTGGTGCAGTCTATCCGAAGGAAGCCTGCAGACAAGCAGTTCAATCTCGAGATGCTGAAGGCTGTGAAAGGAACTCCCTGGCAGCCTAATCCCGAGAAGAGTACGAACGCCGATGCAGACAGACTCCCGGAGCCTATCGTGATAGAGCCCGTGGTCGAGCAAGCAGAGCTTCCACCGAAACCTGGAGACGCCGAACGGTTGCCTACGTATCGGAGAATGTACATCCGACAAAGCGACCTGGAGCAGTTTGGCTATACTGGGGGTTGTGAGGCCTGTGCCGCCATTCGCGAAGGCAGAGAACGCCAAGGTATCAACCGCAACGAGACGTGTAGGAAGCGGATCCAAGAGGCGCTAAAGGACACCTCTCGGGGCCAAGCCCGCCTAGAGCGAGAGACTCAGCGCGAGACCGAGTACTTCACGAAAGTCCACGAGGCAGAAGAAAAGAAGAGAAAGGCTGCAACAGAGAAGGAGAAAAGGCCTGAGGCAGGAAGTGCAGAGGCGAGCGAGCCCAGCCAACCTAGCAGGCCACCAGAGCAAGCAGCAAAGAAAGTGGAGAAAAGGAAACCCTCTAAAGCAGAGCCTGTCGCCGTTTCGCGAGAAAGTAAGAAGCCAGCAGTTACCGCTTCGGAAGCTGCTTCGGCGAGCAAACGGAAAAGCGAGGACCCTGGAGACCAAGAGAGGTCCGAGCTGAGGCCTGCAGAGAACCGAGCAGAAGGCTCTAAGCGCAAGGCTGAAAACGTCGAGGGAATGATTGAAACGCTTATTGCTGGAGAGCGAAAGGCGTGGATTGAATCCCTGGAAGGAGTCGAACAGCCTACCTGCGACCTGGTTGATGGTTTAGTGGAAGAGGTTCTTGCGGAGACCTTCTACGACGACCTCACCGGGAAAGAGCTTCCAGCTGAAGGTGTTAAAGCAGCCCGGGCAGAGGAAGTGAGCGTCATCAGGCAGATGGGAGTGTGGGAAGTCATACCCCGCCCTGCAAACGAGAAGGTGATCGGTACGCGATGGGTGGACATCAACAAGGGGGATGGTGCCCGTCACAAACTGAGATCCAGGCTTGTCGCTCAGGAACTCAAAAGAGCCCGCGGACCGCAACAACCAGAGGACCAGTCCACTTGGAGCGATTTCTTCGCTGCAATGCCGCCACTCAGTTCTCTTCGGGCGCTATTTTCCTTAGCGACTACACAGCGTGTACCCAACACTCGGGGAAAGCTGTCACCCGTTGGGTCTGGAGGCGAAGTCTGCCTAATGTTTCTGGATGTGAAGAAAGCTCACTTTTGGAGCCCTGTACGTCGGAGACTCCTTGTGGAGCTTCCACCAGAAGCTGGAGAGGGACGAGACAAGGTTGGACTTCTGAAGCGTTCCTTGTATGGGACCAGGGATGCACCTTCCAATTGGGAGAAAGCCATCAAGGATGCTCTGGAGGGCTTGGGCTTCAAACAAGGACGAAGCAACCCATGCCTGTACTTCCACGAGGAGAAATCTTTGCGACTCAACGTCCATGGAGATGACTTCACAGTGGTTGGAAGCTACAAAGAGCTCAAGTGGCTAGAGGCTGAACTGGGCAAGGTTTGGACAGTAGAGACAAGAGGCATCCTGGCTAGACCCGGTTCGGAGCTGCCAGGCGTGATTCATCAAATCTCTGTCTTGAATCGCCTAGTGACGTGGACCCAAGAAGGCATCGAGATGGAAGCCGACCCAAGACATGTGGACTTAGTTCTGGAACAGCTGGGTCTGGAGAAAGGAGTTTCTGTGACCACTCCACTGGTCAAGGTGAAAGAAGAGGACATGGACAAGACTCCACTTGGTACTGCTGAAGCAGCTCTGTACCGTTCTATCGCTATGCGGATAGGTTATCTGTCTATGGACAGGCCGGACTTGTTTAGGACCGTCCGCGAGTTGGCGAAAGGGCTGAAAGAACCTCAACAACACCATTGGGGTCTCTTGAAGAGAGCTGCAAGGTATCTCCGAGGATTTCCTAGGCTGGTGCAATTGATTCCGTATCAAGAGCATTTCACAAGCATCAATGCTTGGTCCGACAGTGACCATGCTGGGTGTATCAAGACTAGGAAAAGCACGACTGGAACCGTGATCCAGCTCGGAGAAGCAACAGTGAAGACAGCAGCCAAGGGGCAAGCTGTGATTGCCCTGTCCACTGGAGAAGCAGAATACTATGGCTTGATATCAACAGCCTCAACCGCTTTGGGCGAGCAAGCGATGATGGCGGACTGGGGTGTAAAGCTGTCTGTCAACATAGCTATGGATGCCAGCGCGGGCATATCCATCGGCTCGCGACGAGGGCTGGGAAAGGTCAAGCACATTGACACCTGCTATCTGTGGGTGCAAGAAATAGTGGATCAAGGAAGAATACGCCTGAAGAAGGTCAACACGCAAGACATGCTGGCGGACCTCATGACGAAGCCTTTGGACGGCCAAACTGCTACGAAGCTATTAAGTCGAATGGGCTACACCGTCAGGTCTGGAAAGCATGAGCTGGCCTTAGGAAAGGCGTGAAGGAATACCCCAAAGAACTCGCAGGGAAAGCAAAGCGTGATCCCTACTCGGGAGGCGTGACTGGATTTGGGGTATAGTTTGGGTATGGGTCTCATGTACAGTTGTTTCACACTGACGTTACCTTTTGGCTCAAGTGCGCGGTTGCTAAAATAGCGTTTCATATAACCCCACTTAGGGTACTTATAACCTTACTTAAACAGTCCCGCGATCCTACATTACCCGACCTCGGAGCATTCCTTTCCACCCACCCCGAGGTGCGAAGCTTTAAGAGCCGGGGTGCCGAGGTTCGCGGGGTGAGGGGTTTACCCAAAGGCTCCATGTGTACATATATAGTAGATACTCAAGCGTTTCAGTATTGGGCGTTGAGACCTCTACTCTTCGTCGCTTGCTTGCTTTTGACACTTTATTACTTAAGGCCCTGAGGCCCAAACCATGGTTTAGGGCTTAGGGTTTAGGGCCCAAACCACGGATTAGGTTTAGAGTTTTGGGCATGCAGCGGCAGTTTAGTCTTTAAGGCCCTGAACCCCGAACCTTAAACCGGTCATCCGTCCTGGTAGAATGTGGGCTGCAGTGACAGTTTCAGGACAACTGAAAGCCCCAAACCATCACTGCTTGAAGTCAGGTATGAGTTGTGTACGTTCCGTGTTAGTATTGGTGTTATTGCTATGATTACTGGTCTTGCTATCTTAGCAAGTATTTTTACTGTACTGATGATTATTATGGTTGGTTGTGTTGCTGTTGGGCTGATGTCTCGAAGTGTGTGTCCCAGAGTCTCGGCTCTTACGGTCTGAAAGCTTAGCCAAACAGAATCCCCTAAAGCCGACACTTTTGGGGTTCAGGATTACGGGCTTAGGGTGTTAAGGGTTTCGGGTTTAGGGTTTAGGGTTGGGGATTTAGGCTTTCGTGTTTCTTCGGGTCAGGGGTGCAGGGCTATTGGCCGATGGGTTCAGGTAATTTGGGGCCCCGAGACCCTTAACCCTCAAGCATCAGCTGCCCCACAATCTGCATCTTCAGTCTTCAGCCCTGACAGCGACATGTCGACCCACAGCCCACTTAGGCTCATTAAGGTCTACCCCAAATGACCTAGTTTTAAAGGTTTTAAGGGCGCCTAAAAGGTAGGTTGTTGTCGGGTTATGGTAGGGGTGCAGGGTTACAGATTTCGGGTGTAGGGCTTGAGACCAGGACATAAACGGCCCGTGCCCAAACGCTGGCAGGAGCAGCAAATCTGGGATGACTACGTCCAAAGCGAGCTGGGAACGATCATAGGCGTCCTGTCAGGAATTTGGTCGGATCGCAGTATTTCGGTAGGCCCGAACCCCCCTTACTAAATTTATTAATTAAGCCTCGCAATCACTAAAACCTAGTTGGTTCCTCAACTTGATAAGATCACTCACACCACCAACACGAGCGCTTCGGCCATGTTTGGCCAGAGCAACGGCGTGATTCGGTTCATGACACCTTTACATGGATCATGATCGTACTAGCAAGAATAATCAGACTAGTATTATGCAATGTTACACAGTCATACAGCTGACAGGCATATGTTCTTTCACCTGGCTGGCCTATAAGGGCCGCACTGGATTTATTTGTGCTCTGCATGCGCGAGCATTTTCGGTTTAGAGTTCATTGTCTGGTTGAAAGTTGCAGGGTGTATCGTCGTCGAGTTCAGAAGATACAGGGCATAGGCGAAGACTTCGTTCGTTTCCTCGACACAAGCATAGAAGAAGCGAAACGGGACCCGACAGCCCCCGTGGCGAATGCGAGACGTGTGCCCTGGGACGAGTCGGCTGAGCCAGGTTTCTTTTTTCGTCCGAAGTCGCGCAGCACTCCAGTTTGATTCACATACTTGGAGGGTCGGGGGACTTAGTAAGTAGGTAGTAAGTAGACTTATAAGTACCCTAAAAGGGACCCTAATTGGGGTTCTGGTACTTATAAGTCCCTAAAATAGCTAGTTACTACGTCCCCCGACCCTCCAAGTAGTGTGCAGAGCGACCTCGATCCTGAGACCACAGCTTCCACCAGACTCATTCATGAGGACTTGGCCGGACTTTGGTGTACTGTAGAGGCCTGAATAATTAGAATAGGGTTTTATACAAGAGTCATAGTAACTAGTAAGGATTCCCAACATAGTCTTGGTAGTTCTTGAGGCCCGTATATTACTGACAGAATCAACCTTCAGCGTCGACAGCACCGCCTCTTCCTGCTGAAAGGGATTACTGTAACTTATGACTAACCCACCATGTCTTCTCGAAGATCCTTTAGACCCTAAACCCTAAACCCACCATGTCCTCTCCAAGCTGCTTCGATGATTCCTTGCGCCCGATTACTGGAGACGAGACTCCCATCTTCGTTCTCCAATACCCAACCCTTTAACTTTAAACTGTTTGGGTTTAGGGTTTAGGGGTTCAATACATTTTAGTAGGAATCTGAAATTTGAAAGCTTTGTTTCCCTGGCTTATTGGGTAGCAAGTCATACCCCAAACCTTGACACATATATAGGCCCATCCTTCCCGGTGCTACAGAACCCTGCAAAGGTCCTGCAAGGTCAATTAAAGCCCTACTTACAGGATCATGGGACTTAGTAAGTGGGTTATAATTGGGGTTATAAGTCCCCTAAGTGGGGTTACCCTAATTATAACCTACTTATAACCTTACTTACTAAGTCCCATGAGCCTTTAAGTACAGAACCTTGCATTGCCGCAGACCCAAACCTGCGCAGCCTATGATCCGCAACCCGATCGATCCCTATGCAGCAATAGTGCTGATTCTTCAGGCCCTTCTACAAGTAGGATTCGTTGGTTCGGAGTTCAGTGGTAGGGTTTAGGATCGTGGCTTACAGGGCGTATTTGGGGTTTTGATGTGTTGTTCTTGATGTTTATACGAGGAACATCTACGCACGGTGTCAGAATTCAGGTTTAGAGATTGAGGGATTTGAAACTGTACGCTGCGGGCCAAGACAGCTTCAGAACTTCGAGATGTTAGGGTCTTGGCGCCCAATGGGTTTGAGCCTGTTTGAGTTCCCTGAGTCGATGTCTTAGGTCATAAGGCTTAGAAACTAGCTCCGAGCATCCTGAGTTTACAACCAAACCCTCAAAGCCCGGAACCCCAAGCCCCCAACCCTAAGGTGATCCGTATGCCTTCGACCTCCGCATCAAGCTCCTGGACAATCAGGCGGCTTTGTTTGCCTAGAAGCCAGCTCAAGAATAGAGAACTGGAAAGCATAGGGCATCTCTAGATTTGTTTCAGGGTTCTACTAGGTCGCCTTGTACTACCCGTTTAGGGGTTCTCCCATGGAAACTCAATCGTGGCAAAACGGATGCGCTTAGTAGACAAGGGATGCAGAGTTGTGCAGTACCTCGAAGCAGGGTGTATTGCAGGGGTCTGAAAAGGTAGTGCAGCCATATTCCAAGATACCCCCAAAACTCTATCAAGCCACCCACACGTGCGTGTGTATATATATATATATATATATATACATGTGTATGTATGTAAGTATGTATGTATGTATGCATGGATGTATGTATGTCGGTATGTATGTATGAGGGTATGTATATAGTTTTCAAAGGCAAGCCCAGTGTTTTCAGTACATCACTTGAGGATTTCTCAAATGATGTGAGGCCGAATATTTCGCACTCTTAGTCCCTGGGCCGCGCCTTCCTTCAAGGTGGGACCCTTAACAAGGACCCCTGGGTATATAACCTTAATATAGCTGTGACATACCCATTTTATAGTCCATTATAAGGTGGTCGTCCCCATTAAGGGTCCCTCCTTTTCCCCTTTGATTATAGGTACTCCTTGTCCGACAGACGCAGGCGATGACTACTAGTCCCTGCCACAGGCCCTGTATTCTAAGTTACATGTGCTACCCTCTATATGGTGTACGTACCCTAAACCCCAAAACCCTAGTTAAACCCTAAACCCTAAACTCTGAACCCTAAACTCTAAACCCTGAAAGCTTGTCTTCTTCTTAGGTCAGACCTCTCGGAACTGAGGAGTTCGTATTGCTGCTCCCTTACTTGGAGGATCATGGGACTCAGTAAGTGTGGTTATAAGTACCTGAAGTGGGTTATAAGTAGTTATAGGTATAGTTAACTTAATAATACCCCTAGCTACTTAGTCCCATGATCCTCCAAGTACAGCCCCTGTATATTCTGAAACATACCTTTTTGTATCCTCTCCTCCTTCGAACCCTAAACACTAAGCCCCAAAGCCTGAACCCGGACACCCTATGCTCTCCGACAAGATAGCCTGTTACTAGGATGGCCTTATTCCCTTTCTGTAGTCCTAGGTTCCTTATACAGTTACCCAACACCAGAAAGGGAGCCCTTTCTATTCCTAGGTTACTGCGCATCCTAGCATAAGAGCACCCTCAAAGGATCATGGGACTTACTTTTAACCCCTAAACCCCAAACCCTAAGCCTTTTCGGGTTTGGGTTATTGAGTCGCCGAGCCCCAGGCGAGGAAAGCCCTGAGGCGGGCTGCGCGGCAGGTGATGATGGCAGCATGGCGGCCGAGTTTGGAGGTTTAGGGGTTTAGGGGTTTGGAGTTTGTTTAGGGTTTAGGGATGTAGGGTTTGGGAGTTTGTTATTGTTTAGGGCTTTAGGGGTTTAGGGTTTAGGGGTGATCGTGGTTTAGTGTTTAGGGGTTTAAGGTTTAGATTGTGAGGGTTTATGTTGAGGGACCGACAGGAGTTCGACCAGGGTTTAGGCTTTGGGTTTTGGGATTTAGGATTTAAGGGTTAGGGTTTGGGATTTGGGGTGGGGAAGGGATTCTTTGGGGCTTCCTTTGAAGGGCTCGCGGGCTGTAGGTTGTTGGGCTTTGCATCCTCCTGTCTCTTTGAAGCGGTTTAGGGTGTAGGGTTACGGGATTTAGGGGTTCTACACGGGCGTGTGAAGGATCGAAGATTTGAGGGTTCCATTAGGCTTGAGGGCTTAAGAGCTACGAAACTTAGACAAGGTATTACCGGCTTTATACAAAGGGCGTTCCCTGTAGGTTTCTATAGCGGGTTCTGGAAGGCTTGTCCTTACGGGTTCCCATAAGGGTCTTGCGGGCTTCGGGCTTTGAGGGAGGGCTCCATGTTGTTTTTTGTTTAAAACTCGGGGTTCCATGGGTTATTCCTCGGGGTTCTATAAGGTGAAACCAGGGGGGGGGGGGGGCAAAACCTTCCACCCTAAACCTCTAAACCCTAAACCCTAAACCTCTATAAACCCCGAACCTCAAACCCTTAACCTTAAACCCGAAGAAACCCTTAACCCTAAAAAAAGGGCAAAGCTCGGTAGGAGGATTTGGAGCTGCGGTTGCAGTTTCAGGAGCATGGCCCGCATCTGCCTGGTGGTTTAGAATGCAGGGGATGTTTTCTAAGGACAAACATCCACATGAACATCCCCCAAACATGCCCCCATTGCCGCCGTAAGTTTTACGAGTAAACACGTTTGCGAGTATTTTTGCGAGTAATCCCCTATGAGTAGAAATTTAAGAGTAAAAAAACCGGAGTAAACACGTTTGCGAGTATTTCTTGCGAGTAATCCTCTATGAGTAGAAATTTACGAATAAAAACCCCGAGTAAAACAGTTAGCGAATTTGTTTTTGCGAGTAGTCCTCTATGGGTAAAAATGTACGAGTGAAAACCCCGAGTAAAACAGTTTACGAATTTGTTTTTGCGAGTAATCCTCTATGGGTAGAGATTTACGAGTAAAAAGCCTGAGTAAAGGAGTTTAATTACGAGTGAAAAATCAGGAGTAGTGATGTTTTTGGGGATGTTCAAGGGCATGTTTATCAACTTGCGTGACAAGTGGCCAGAGTTTGACGAGGCACTGCGCAGTCTCAGCATTCCAGACCGCCTGCAATCTTCAGACGACATGCAATTGTTGCACCAGTGACCGCAAGATCGTCCGCGCTTCCGCGCTCTCCCAGACGGCTTCTGATGTGGGTCCGGTAGCCTTAGCCGGCATGTCACCGCATTTTGCCGAACAACAGCGTCGCTACGCTGAAATGGGGCAGTGGCTTAGCAGCTCCAACTTGACGAGGCATAAGACCCGCCCTACCAAACAGGAGCGGGCAGCTATAATTTTGACAACCACCCACGTGTTTGGGACAAGTTAGTTGCGACGGCAGGCTCCCAAACTCATAGGAGGCTAAAAGGGGATTTAGCCTATGGGGGTTTAGTAGGGATGAGGGTTCCCATACTAGGGTTCATATTAAGGAACGCAGCTGCCGCACATAGCATAGCAGTATTGTGACTCGTTCGGTTTTTTGAAGTATTAAGGAAACCATAATAGTAAAAGAGCCGACATGATTACCCATACTATTATTGGGAGTGTCCCTTATTTCACGTAGCTGTAGTCTATGGTATACCGCAAATCCCTATTCTAGTTATGTAGGGTAAACCCCAAGGCACGAATTCAATCCCTATGGGTCCGAAACGCTCAGGGTTATATTAACTTGGAAACCCTAAAGCGTAAACGCTTCACCCTGACGCTAAGGATGAGATGCTGAAGAGCAGCAAGAGCAGCCGAAAAGCGAAGGAGATGTCTGACGCCTGAGCCGAGCTGGCATTTAAGAATGGGTTCGGGCTCTCAAGTCTAAGGATCTGTAGGTTTGGGGTCTAGGAGTTGGGGACGTTAGGCCTCCCAGCACCAACGCTTCAACAGAGTTTTCAGATTTCGATGTTCATGGCAATTGTTCCTGGGACTTAGACCTAAACCTAAACCCCAAAAGCCAGACCCCTAAACCCCTAAACCACCGAGCCTAAACCCTAATTAAACCCCTAAACCCTAGATGCCCCCCCCCCAAGCCTAAACCCCTAGACCCCAAACCCCCAACCCCTAAACCTTGTCCATTACATTTAGGATGCTGCAGTGTTTTCAGCTTGGGCTTGGGGTTAAAATGGAAAATTGCCGGTGCAGGGCAGCCTTGTCCTTTTTCATGGTTCCCCAAAAGAAAAAACAGACCGGCTAGTAGAGCTTCTCAAATAATTCCTACTAAGGGATATATATAGGTATAGGGCCCTGTCTATTATTTCTAAAAGGACAAGGGTGGAGTTCAGGGTGTATAGGGTTTAGGGTTTCAAGTTTACCTATAGTCTCCATTGTAGTTCCTTTTTTTGGTTTAACCAATTATATATTAAGGATCCTAAAAGGTAACCCCAAAAAGGAACTACAATGGAGACTATAGGTATAGGGTTTATAAGGTTTAGGGTTCGGGTCTATCGGTTTGGGTTCAGGATTTGGAGAGTTTTCGGGCCCAAGAGTTATAAAGGGAACTCCAGAAAGTTGGAATATGGTTTCAGGGTAGGATACCTTGTAATTGACCCTAAAGGGTTTAGGATAATCATATTCCAACTTTCCGGCTTTTACTGTATCGGATTTAGGACCCTGAGGGTTTCAATTGGGTTGTCTCATGTTCTGGTGGCTATGATGCCGTAAACCCAGACCTTCCAGAATCCCTTAATTAAGGAATATCCCTCAAAATTATAGTAGGATCCTTAATATGATTTAAGGTACCTTCCTTAATTAAGGGGTGTTGGAGTCTCTGGGGAGTCCATGTAAGGCCTCAGCCATTCCTTCGAAGGAGGGGGAAAGGGTTTAAGGCTGTGGATTCAGTCAGAGGTTTGCTGTGCATAGGTTGGGTACTGCCCCCACTCAGTAACAGTTGGATAATATTCATAATACAGACACCTTGGGACCTTAACAGTGGCCCTATTGCAGACTGTTACTGCATAGGCGGGCAGTACCGAATGCATAGGCTTTCGGAGGGTTTAGAGACGTTGAGATGTTGGGTTGGGGTTTCGCAGCTTAGCCGGCTTAGGGCTGCAGTTTCGCACAGTAACGTACCCCAAAACCCTATACAGTGTTGATTAAGGCCAAATAGTGCTGGGATTCTCTAAACATTGAAGCTATGGGGTTTCCAACTGTCCCCCCCCCCCCCAAAAAAAAGAAGCCGTATTCCAAGTAGTAGTCGCACCCCGAGCCACGTCTTCGAGCTTCAGCGCCTCCAAAGTTATGAAGCGCTTGCGGTTTCGGTTTGGGCTTGAGGATATCGGAATTTGTGGGGTTTAGGGTTGTATTGATGGATCCACAGAAATTCGAGCTGCCCGTACCGACGAGCGCTCGTCGATGAGGGCATTCGCTCGCAGAAGCGAACCGCTTCTGGACACGCTTTCGCGGCAGATATGGGTCCCGTGTGGCTGTGTGTGGTAGTACTTCGGGCTTTATTTAGGTCCCCAATACTGTACCCTGGGCCTGAAACCCACTGTTTGAGAACTTGGACCCTCACACGGGTTCATATGGGATAACCCCTGAACCCTGAACCTTCGACCTTGAATAATTTCATGGGTTAGCCGTATGTAAGGTACAAAATTTCGCACTTTGTATCATGCTATACGAACTCTAGGTCCAGGCTCGCCGGTTACAGTCGGCTGCAGGGATGTAAAACAGGGTTTCGGGCTTGGGGCCTCATTCAAAATTTTCCTTCAAGGTTCCTTAAACCCAGGGTTGTTTGGGGTTTTGATTTAGTGGCCTGAAGACCCAGTCATATTATACCTCAGGGTTCCAAATCATAGTGATACTACAATGCACGCCGAAGCCGGATCTAATAAGGACCCACACATATTGAGCTTAGAGTCTACATGCACATACTAGTTAAAGCATTTGTGTACCCTTATCCCTAAACCTTAAACACCTGGGGACAGAAGCCTTTGCAAAGTCTTTGACGTAGGCACGAGCGTAAAGGGACCCATCGTCGAAGATGCACGCTGTCTCATCCAGCCAAAGGCAGAGAAATTCTTGTTTTGGGTGTTTCGGGTCTAGGGTTCAGGAAACCCTAAAATCCTGCGGAGGGCTTCGTCCTTGCATCAGCAAGTGCTGTTAACTAGTAACCACTAATTCTCACTGCTATCTTTACCGTCACTAGCTGCAATACCAGCCTTTTCATCATGGTAAGCAGCAGGAACAACGCGCATATCTTTCTTGCTGGTATGTTTGTTCATACATTTCCGCGCTACACACCCTGAAGATCGAACTACGAAACACCTGATCGTTGCATTCACGGTACTTGTTTAAAGTACGGCTTTCAAACTACTGTCAAGCAAGCCTGAACAGAAACCCCAGATGTCAATGTACGAACCTAATTTCTGACATCATTTGTTGTTTTCGTGTTTTGAATATAGGTCCCATTCGTCTGCAGGTCTCGTTTTGGTTTTCGGATTCATTCGTGCCGGAAATGAGCTTCATCTGTTGAACCCTAAACCCTCAACCTCAAACTCTAACTCCCACACCCTTATATACCCTCAACCCTCACCCTCTAATTCTTCAACCCTTATAAACCCCAAACTTAGAGACCCCAAAAGCACATAAGCATAAGCATTTTAGGGGGATATCCCTACCTTATTGGGCTTCATTATAAGGGGGTTTATATGGGATATCCCTGTCCTAATTTTTGCTTACGTGCTTTTCTGGGGCCCTATAAATTCCGCACCATGAACCCCTAACCCCTAAACCCCTAAACCCTAAACCAACCCTAAACCCCTAACCCCTAAACCCTAAACCAACCCTCTAAACCCCTAAACCCTAAACCCCTATAAACCCTAAACAGTAACCCGAAACGCCTGAACCTCGACTCTGCATCTTCACAGCAGCTTGGTTGCTAGAGTTCCAGGCAGGGTTTAGGGTTTAGGGGGCTGCGACAGGTTCAAGGTTAGACACCCGAAGCACTATAAGTAGAACCTTTGTATGAATCCGTCGAAGAAGTCCGCTCAAACTGCTAAGACCCCTCCCTGCTTAGGATAATTCGTGCTTCATAGAGTGCAACCCTTCCTTACTGACGCCAGCCGTCGAACCTCGTGGGGCTCTACAAGGACAGTTCGCTTTGAAGCTGTACTATAGGGGCCTTTATGATTACCTCTCCTTTTTTTTTTTTTGGGGGGGGGGGTCCCTTAACTATATATGTAGTATAATTCTTCTATTCTAGTAATTATACTATAATTATTCTAATTAAGTTTATGTATTATAGTATTATCATTCTAGTCTAGTTATTAAGGCCCCTATATGACGATGTGGGGCTTTTAGGGTTCCGGGTGCAAGGAGGGCCAGGGTCAGGGCTACTGTTGATGATATAAATCCTGCACTACCCATAATGAGGTATATACTTTTAAAGGGATCCTTATAATGAGGATCCTACTATTTATTTAGGGTATTATATTAGGTCCCCTATTTTTGGAAACTCCCATATTGTTGATGATATAAATCCTGCATTACCCATAATAATCAAGGGTACCTTAGGGTTCCTTTAAAGGGATTACTATAAGGGTACTATAAGTGTTCTATAAAGGGTTTCGGGATTACCCATAATGAGGAGTATACCTTTAAAGGGATCTACAATGGGTACCTTGAAGGGATTCCTTTAGGGGATCTATAGGGGGTTTAGGGTTTAGGGATGATATATAACTCCTGCATTACCCATAATGAGGAATATACCATAATTCCCATAGTTTAGGGTCCTTAAGGTAATGCAGGATTTAGATCATCAACCGTAGGATGAGGGCTTAGTAGACTTTAGCTGTGTTAGGGTTTAGACTATAGGGTTTATTTAGGGTTTAAGGTTCGGGGTAGCTAGTTTCACGAGTCTGGGGGATGTATGGGGTCTCTGTAGTGTAGGGTTTTGCAAAGATCAGATATGTCGTGAAGTTTGAGGCAGTCTGTAGCATCCAAGCATAGGCACAGTTAGCATATTCCGGAAAGGGGTTCGGGGGGTTCACCGATATAGAACTCTCAAGCATAGGTTCCGTGATTCTATACATACATATAAATGCACACACACACACACATGCACGCACACAATCGATTGACCAGGGGGTTGGGATGATTTGACTTGGGGATGATTCAAGATTTCCCTTCAGCTCTCCACTTTAACCTCCAAACCCCTAAACCCTGTCTCTTCTCTGACGTGGTGGTCCTGGTTTCCAGTTTGGCATCAACTGTTACCAACATGGTTCATACACATTGAATTGTTATTTTGGAATTAGGCCCCCAAAACCATTATCAGGATGGTTCTTTGGCGCTTAATTCCATAATTGTCTGTGGATCCTTTTGGTTATACCTGTAGTACAGTAACCCTCTACGACTCTACGTATACAAGTACGCCTCTCAACCCTTAGCCCGAACTGTTGCTTCATGTGCCTGAACCCTAAACCCCTAACCCCTGAACCTTTGGCTTTCTGGAGGACTCGAATCCTCAACGCCAAAATGGGCCCAGAAGGGACCCTTTGTATTCCCAGGGTTACTGGGGATCTCCTAAACCCTATAAAGCCTGAAACCCTAAACCCCAAACCCCTAAACCCTAAACCCCAAGCCCGTAAACCCTAACCCCAACCCCTAAACCCCTAAGCCCTAAACCCCTAAACCCTAAAACCGTAAAAGCCCTTAGAGGCCCTCAACCATTAAAAGCTCATCTCTTACTTGGAGGATCATGGGACTTAGTAAGTAAGGATTTAAGTACCCTAAGTGGGGATATAAGTAGTTATAGGTACAGTTACCTTAATTATAAC